TGCAATTATGAAGATCAAAATAAGAATTCTTAGATGATACTTAATATGTTAAAACATATAGTTTAGCCTTAAAGTCCTAATAATTTTGTAGCACTGTAATTTGAGATCAGTGTATTTTTCACTTTTAGATTATTGTGTCTTGACTTTAAGAACCTACAGGATCTAAAATATACAGAGCCTTGCTTGATCATACAATCATCTGAAGATATTTAAACATTTTTTAGTGAGCTGTAAGAAATTTGTGCAAGAAAATAGTTGGAAAGGTGAGATTAGTAGTCTCACAGTATATATAGCTCTCTTATCTTTTTTAGAAGGACTTACCAGTTCTTTTTTTTAATTTTTTTTTAATTTTTATTTTTTATTTATGATAGGCACACAGTGAGAGAGAGAGGCAGAGACATAGGCAGAGGGAGAAGCAGGCTTCATGCACGGGGAGCCCGATGTGGGATTCGATCCTGGGTCTCCAGGATTGCGCCCTGGGCCAAAGGCAAGCGCCAAACCGCTGCGCCACCCAGGGATCCCAACTTATCAGTTCTTTTCTAAGTTCTAGATAGCTTAGACTAGTTGTCAACGTAGACATATCACTGCTTTAGGAGGTACATTTGTAATGTTATTCATTTAAATATGAAATAAAAATTTCAACAGGACACTAAACCAAGGAGTTCGTGATACAAATCTTAGTAAAAATATATTTGATACAAAATATGAGCAGGTGATAATTAACGTTAGTAGGCCTAAATAATATGGCTTAGTCTGTTTTTTATTATAAAACTTAACTGATTTCCTATATTTCTGAATTTTGTAAGTGTGTTTTATAATAGCTATGCATATGCAACTATGTATTTGTCTAAAATAGACAACATTCTGTATTACAAACTATAATGGGCAGGCAGGCTTTACTTTTTTAGTGTATACATATCTAGATAAAGTTTTGCCTGATAGGAATAAATTAAAAACATACACTGAGAAAAACGAGTTCCTATCTGACCATAATTTGCCTAGTAATAACATCAAGGTATCTTTATTCCTCCTTTTCCTTTAGCTTTACATTTTGGTTCCCAGGACAGTAGCAAAGATTTATTCTGCAAGCTTATTTAGACTACTCTGATAATATATCAAAACTCAAATTATTTAAATGATGTGTTTTAAGCAGAATATCAACTCATACTGTGATAACTCTCCTTCTCCCAGAAACAGAAGGACCACAAACAATCCCCCAGGAACTGATTAGTAGTTGTTATTCATGGTGTTTATTTTGTGTAATTTACTAGTACTATATATTCTCTTTCATTTCATCACTCTAAGGAACCTGAAAACTGAGTATATAACTTCATAACATTCTTTAAAAAAAATCAATGTAGGTTTTATTAAACATATAGATTATCACAGTATCGTGCTATTATGTAGTAGTTTTTTAACAAACACTTTTTGTTTCAATTATATTATTCAATAAAATAAAAATTTGTTTTATTCTTAAACTACTTAAAATATTTCTTAATTAGTGTCTACAGCATCACTATCCCATTTTTTTAAAAGTAGGCTCTGCACCCAATGTAGGGCTTGAACTCACAATCTTGAGGTCAAGACCTGAACTGAGATCAGAAGTTGGACACTTAACTGACTGAGCCACCCAGGTGCCTCATTGTCCCATGTTTTTATTTGCCTGCCCCATTATAGTTATATCCTTTATTAATAAAGACCATTCCAATAAAAAAAATTGAAGTCCTTATTGAGTGCTTAATATATGTCTAGAGCTGTGCAAGACACGGTGGAGGCAGTGGAAGAAATATAGGATAGGGCCTCTGATCCTAAAGAACTAGAAAAGATGACAGGAGGAAAAAATTGTGAGACAAACTCTGAAGTGTTAAGAATAGAGAGGTCAGCATAGGCAAAAGTAGTTATGGAGAACTTGACCTGGGCTTTGAAGTGGTAGGTAAGGAGGTATGGCATTTAACCTTGGATTTAAGAATTGACAGATATCCAGACAGATATCTGGAATAAACAAAGCACTGGCTAAAGAAAATGGATAAGTTTTCTGAAATTGAGGATTTTTAATGCAGATCGGATTTTTAAGATGTTATTACTTGCTTGTTTTGCTATCTAAAATTATGACTTAGAACCAACTAGTACACCCTACTGTACTGGATTATCAACATTTAAAAAGTTGATTGTTTTCAACTTTTTTACACAGAAAAATAAAGATGTGGCCTAAAAGTCTTAGATTATAGACTGAATGGAGTGCTTAGTATAGGTCTATGTACCAATTCTCTACGAGATCTTGAGAACTGACTAGAAAAAGAAACGTTTTTGACCATGCCCATAAAGGAGAGACATACTTTCGGGATGCCTTTTATTTGTGGTTTCTGATTCTGGTTTGCCATTTGAAATCCTTATTTTATATTGTAGATTATTTTGAAATTATAGGATTAATAATTAAAGAAAAGCTATGCTAATAGCATTCTGTATCAAACAAAAGCTAAAGCAGAGGTTTTTTAAACCAACCCAGCCATACAATGTAGCTTTTGTGCAAATTTGCTTGCTTTAAAAGTAATACTTCTTAACGTTTCCACTTTTTATAAGCGGGCTAGTATAAAGATCAGCATCAGCTGGATATAGGGGCACCTGAGTGGCTCAGTTGGTTAAATGTCAGGCTCTTGATTTTGGCTTGGATCATGATCTAAGAGTCATGAGATTGAGCCCCACCATCAGGCTCTGCCCTAGGGTGTGGAGCCTGCTTAAGATTCTCTCTTTCCTTCTGCTCTTCCTTCCCTACTACTAAATCATCTCCCCAACTCTTGGCTCTCATGCTTGTTCTCTCTCTTTAAGAAAAAAAAAAAATGAGGCACCTCAGTGGCTCAGTCTGTTGACTGTCTGGCTCTTGATTCAGCTTAGGTCATGATCTCAGGGTCCTGGCTTTAAGTGCCCCCCCCCAACCACCACCGTTGGGCTCCATGCTCAGCACAGAGTCATGAAGTCTGCTTGTCCCTCTCCCTCTGCTCCTCTCCCTGCTCGTGCGCTCGCTCGCTCTCTCTCTTTCTCTCTCTCAAATAAATAAAATCTTTAAAAAATTTAGCTTGATATAGAGTTAAAGTGCAGAAATACTTTTTGCTTCTTATTTCATTATATCTGATAGAAGGCCCTCATTAAAACTCAGTGCGTATGTCCCCTTACATCTTCAATGATACAGAAAGACTGGAAAAGCAGCAGTGAAAGTAGAAGGGAGCTTTGTGCCTTGGTTCTAAACAGTGTGAATTACAGGAAGTATGGTCCAGCAGAATTACTCTTCATTTATTTATTACAAAATTTTTCTAAGAAGTGAGTTGAATATTTCAAGTAAATTTCTTTTCTTGGATTGAATTTCTAGATGCTTCTTGTATATTTTCATTGTTTAGAATAACATGTTCACACCCATTAAAGGACCAAAATGTCGTGAATTTAATTGGAAAATAGAAACAGAAAATAGTTGTGTATTCCTAAGAAGAAATGACATTTTAAGTTTATTCTACAGTGCATAACCAAGAAAAGATTTAAGAATTTTCTTTTAGAATTTGAATATATGTTTGAATGATATTTTGAAAGAAATTGTTTATTAGTGATTTAGAATTGGTCCCTTCTTTGTTTGCCATGTAAGATACAAGAGTAGGCAGCTGGATTTATTCTTATTTGTGCATTTGTATTTTACCATTACTTTATTCAGGATCAAAATGTGGCATAATGTGGCCATTATCCATTTGGCATTGTTAAAACTTTCAAATAATGAAATACTTGTTCCTTTCTAAAAATGTCTTGGTCAGAGCTGCGTGACAGTTGTGATAATGAGAATATACAGAATCATTTTGTGGGTTTATGTTTTACTGATAGAGTTACCTATTATATAACAATAAGCTTAATTTTTCTTCTTTATATCAACTCAAGAAAATTATGTTCTTTGTATTCTATTAGTGATCTTTGCCTTTTGTGTGTGTGTATATGTGTGTTTGTTTACATTAAGAGAAACTTCAGAAGGTAAATGTTTAAATTCTTTTTTCCTCAAATGTACTTTCAATTAGCATAGTACGATTTTGACTGTATTCCTTCAGTACTGTAGGTAAATACTCTGAATCTCTGTTTACTTAATTAATAAGTGGATATAGTAGTTTCATTTTGGTGATGATTAGATGAGTTGTATGTGTTTTATGCTCTAGTTAAATTTCAACTGCAAGACATGGTAACTATATAATCATCATTTTTTAAATTGTATTTAGTTGTTATAATAATTGTAATAGTAAGGATAATTATAATTAAGATTAAATTGCTATATTTTATTATCTCTATCTATCAAATGAGTTGAGTAGAACCTGTGTCCCCTTCTAAATTCCCTGACTATAATGAAACTGTATTATACTATTTTATTTTAAAGTGCCTTCTAGTAGAGGATATGTTTTTGCAAATCTTAGGTTTATGAAGAAGTACACAAACTTGACATTAGATGTTATTATTTGTAATTTATTGGGTTTTGATACAGAAGTAATTACTGAGTGGTACCACCAGGCTTATCAGTTTCCTAAAATCCTGCATTACTCTTAACTATTGCCAAAATTTTGCTCTTTATTCAGAAATAGATTATCACTTATTCTATCACCACTATTAACAGAAAGTACAGTTAAAAATCTTCATGTATAATTCCTTTTCTTACTCTGAGTAGTGACCTAAATTAAGTAGTAGTGAACAAATGATAGTGTGCTTATATGGTGTGTTTAGTTTTCTTCTCTGCTAGGAGGTGGGAGAGTGACTTACCACTTACACAAATTATTCTTGGGTTCTATGTTGATTTACATGATAAACTTTCAGTAAGAAGGTAGAAAGTTATCCAGTTTTTTTCACTGTATTTATATCTGATAAATGCATTGTATTTATATCTTGTACTTTTTCCCCCCTCAGAAGAAATTATGTATGTTTAAAACTGGACCACTTGATTTTGATATTCTCCCAAAACTAATAATGTTTTCCTTTTGTTCTAGTTCAGACTTGGTTCCTTCAATCTAGAGAAAGTTGCAAATCCAGGTGAGGTCATTAGAAAACTTATTTGTGATTGCCTGGACACCATCACAGAAAACCAAGCCAAAAATGAGCACCTGCGGAAGGAAAATGAAAGGCTTCTGAGAGATTGGAATGATGTTCAAGGGCGGTATGTGCTAATGTTCTTATACAATACAAACATTAAGCTCTCCTTATATTGCTATAGATTTACTTAATTTGTAAGTTTATAATATATGTGTACTAGCACATATTTAACATAAAATCTTTACTTAATATGATTAAATTAAAATATTGACCATTATTGTACATTATTGGAGTCTGTTAAAACTTGTAAGCCGTTATATTTGGTAGCAACAGCAAACTAATGAACAATAAAGAATAATCAATGAGAATCAAAATGAGAATGAGAATAAAAAACCACTAATATTAGTAAAAATTTAGGAAGTTGGTATTTATAAGATTTAATTTATCTCAAGTTATAGGATAAACAATGAATAAAAAAGAGACATGAAATGTAAATATGCCAATTGATTACTTATATGGAATTTTATGTAAATGGTAACCATTTCAGGTGCTGTGTGTTTTGGCTCCTGATATAGACTTAGTTTGCTCACTGGATAAATTCATGCTACCAGCTTTTTAAAAAGATGATATAATTATGATTACTAGATAAGGCATTTAGAAACCTTTCTTTTGCCTATTTTTTAAAATGATGAAGAAAGTCATTTCACTTCTTATTATGCATTTTTTCAACTGTATCATGATCTAGGCCAGTATTTTATATTATTCTGTTATGGAAAAGATGTTTGAAGAAAATAAATGTTGTGACATTTATACATCTACAGAGACATAAAACATCATATGCATGTGTTTGTATGTATATGCATGGCAACATCTGAAAGAGTTAAATGGAATGTATATAATAATATAATTATATTCAGTATTTCCAGTAGATTCAAACCAGTAGCTCTAGAACATAATAACAATTTTTCCAATTTAGGGTTTTTTTTTAGGACAATCCTTCAGATTGTTTTATATGGACATTGGTAAGTAAGTGTCAGAGTATATGAAAAATGTGAAGGGTTTATCATTCTCAATGTATATCTGTGAAAAGGGTTTTGACTAGAAGAAATTAGGTTTCTATATATCCAATTATTTTATTAATGTAAGACATGTAAACTTAACACCTAAAACTTGACTATTAGCTCTCAGTTATTAGATTAAGAAATTATCTTGTTCTCTTTTATCTTTGAATTAATATTTATCTCCAATTATATAAAAATGAGACCATATCATAACTGTGTAAATAAATATTAGGAAACCATATGGAGAAATGAGTTAATTTTTCTCTTCCTCTTTCTCCTTAAAATCATGTTAGTGTGAATCAATATCAAATATCTGTGCTAGAAAGCATGGTATTGGGTCTTTATCTGTTGTTTGAATATGCTTTTTTATATACGAAATAAGTCAAATTAAAGCAGGCATACTGTGGTCGTGATAAGCCATTATATTTAAAACTCAAAATACCCTCAGAATGATGGGAAATTTGATCCACAAATTGCCCACAAAAATGCAGACTGGGTACTTGGTACTTGAACAAATTGCTTTAAAATGTCTGCCAGAGGTTGAAAGAGGTGTTATCTCATCAGTATTCAGCACCACTGCCATAGACTGGAAAGCAGCAGGGAACAAAGATGAGATGGTGGAGACAAATGCACCCCGCACTGTAAGACAGTGACAGAGGGGTGTGTATAATAGATAGTGCTCAGTAGCTTGATTTGAACTGTCCAGAAATTGCTTTTACATTATTGTAGCAAAATGTTTCCTGTTTAATCAAAAGCACAACCATATCTCTCATCACCAGTCTTATTATGCTCCAGCTATTCTTTTTTGTAAATGCAGGGTCACGTATTTTCTTCAGGGTTTGAAGATTTGTGCCATTGCGGTAGCCTCCAAAACAGGAAAATGAGCCTGCTCCAGAGAATTCTACACTCTTGATTGTATTCCAGATGTTAGATTAGTAGCTTTATCTATTTTCCAAATTTCCCAAATGGTTTTCTTTCCTATCAGTGGAGAAGGTGGCCATTTTAAGGAGCTGTAATATTTCTTGGTGTTGGCCAAGCAGTACTTATATGTTCCTTTTCTAGAGCTTTAGTAGAGCAGAAAATGAGCCAAGGGTTATATCTCCACCTTCTATATGGCACTAGTACTATTCAAGAGTTTTTGGAGAAATTAGAAACAGGATATGAACATACTGAGTTAGGTAACTAAATTAGAGTGGTGACCATCATGTTAGGACTGGCCACAGTTCAGTTTTCTGGACAGCCTTTGATACTCTTATATCAGTGTACACCTATGCTACCCAGTCATTTCTTCTCCATCATTGTTTCAGACTGTGTATGCATTGGCGGGGGGGTGGGGTGGATGGTGGAGGGAAGCAGCACAAAATAGATGATGAGAATTCCCTTAGAAACTGTGGTAGCTAGGTCCTAAATAAATTTTTTTTAAAAATTTTTTTATTTATTTATGATAGTCACAGAGAGAGAGAGAGGCAGAGACACAGGCAGAGGGAGAAGCAGGCTCCATGCACTGGAAGCCCGATGTGGGATTCAATCCCGGGTCTCCAGGATCGCGCCCTGGGCCAAAGGCAGGCGCCAAACCGCTGCGCCACCCAGGGATCCCCCTAAATAAATTTAATACACAGTGAGACATTATATGAACACAAAGCAGTCATATACACATATGCTTGCACTATGGTAATGTTAATGATATGTTAAGAGGAGAAATGTGAGTTACCAAAAAAAGGAATAGTATGCCAGTTTTTGCAAAATGTATCTTCAGATAGAAATATCTAGAGGAAAAAAAATGTTAATAGTATATATCTGAAATTGTGGGTTAAATTTCTTTTTTGACTTTTGGGGGATATTTTTGTATGTATTTTGTTATTTAAATATTTATAATTATAATCAGAACCAACGCTAAAGCTATTTTCATATAGGATGACAGTAAAGACTAAATGAAGTTTGAATAAGGAGTGAGGAATTACAATATGAGTAAAAAATGAGCCTTAAGTAACTAAATGCAGACTTTTAACATATTTGCTGTTATTTTTTATTAACTAGTAATTGTGGTCTTAGCTCTGTTTTGAACAAGTGATGTTACTGGATCATTTTAATTTTGTATAGTTTAGGTAAGGCAGAAAACATTAGAAATATTGTATGTGAATCTGTAAGTTATTAGCTATATTTATTTTTTATTTATTTATTTTTAGTTATATCTATTTTACTTGTTTTTCCTATTTAATTTCGAATACAACTCTCAAGTTCCATATTACTAAACACGTCTTTTTTTCTTTGCATTCAGACATCAAGTTAGAAACTCTCCAGCTTTATTCTGAGTTATAGTTATTAAACCTATAATTGGAGGCAATTCTCGGCAGATTGAATTGGGTTGACACTCATGGAATCAATAGAATAGAAGAGACCTTGAAAGCTCTTTTACTTCATCTCTCTGCCTTCAAGCTAGGATCACATTATATCCAGATGAATTCAGTCTGATTTTTAAAGACCTCAGGAGATAACTTCAACTCCCTTTGGTAGCCCATTACAGTGTTTAAGAACAGTCACAGTCAGAAAATTCTTCCTTCCATCTCTTGGTAATTGGAGTCCTTCATGGTATAGTTGAAGGCCATTTCCTCTTGTTCTGTCGTCAGAGAGGATGAGGAACAGCTGTTTACCATCTTCTTCAGTACTTAAAGGCTTATTAAATCTCATTACCACTGCTTTCTTTTCCAGTTCTTTTTAGCATTCTTTGTCCTCTGAACTCTATTCACATTTTCTTTTGCTGTGTACATCCCTGACCTGGATATAAATTTGGCTAGAGCTGATTGTAAATATGAGGATTACCGCACTATTTCTAAGCACCACATGTTCACATTTACATATCTGCTGTTTTATTTTGGGTTATCTTTAATCTGTTTTATTTTGGATTATATTTTTGCATGAAATTGCCTTGTTTCTGCTCTTATTTTTGTTATTTTTTTTAAATGTTATTCTTAGAATCTTTATTTTCCTGTATAGAAATATTTTATTTTGAATATTCAGTATTTTCCTTATTTAGTCTTTATCCTTTTGATTTTTTTAATTACTATTCTTTTTTCATAGCTTTTAGATATGTCAGTCCTCGAGTACTAATTAACCTTAATATTATTGTTCTGTTGTCCTAGTCACTATTGAAAGGATGAAACATGATTAGCTCTTTCCTGTTCAGTGTTATTTGTGTTTTCATCAGGCTTGAGTTTTGCCTTGGAGAGGATTCTTGGACTAGTTGTGGTCTAATCTAGTTGTATGTGAGTTCTCCTTTAATTTCACTGACTTAGCAGTGAATCCCGTATCTTTCCTTCACTAAATGGCCTCATCTTCTAATACCTGTCTAGTTCTTTCAGTGAAAAGTTGACAGAAGACAAGTGATGTGGAAGGTCTAGTAACATCATAATGCTGTAAGAGAGGACTGGCATTAAAAATGAGATGGGAGGATGCTATGTACTTCTTAGTTACTAAATGTTTAATAGGGATCCCTGGGTGGCACAGCGGTTTGGCGCCTGCCTTTGGCCCAGGGCGCGATCCTGGAGACCCGGGATCGAATCCCACGTCGGGCTCCCGGTGCATGGAGCCTGCTTCTCCCTCTGCCTGTGTCTCTGCCTCTCTCTCTCTCTCTCTCTCTCTCTGTGACTATCATAAATAAATAAATAAATAAATTCATTAAAAAAAAAAGAATAGTGTTCTCCAAATTGTTGATAAGTTCATGATTGAGAATAAATTTTGTCTTCTTCACAATAATACTCTGTGCCAGCCAAACCCCATTCCCTAGCTTTGTCTATAAAGTGTTATCCAGTTTGATAATTGGAAGTTTGGTTGAAAGAAAATCTTAAAGGTTTGCTAAAACCAAGCACGGTTAATTCATAGGTTGACAGTTATTCTGTTGTTTGTTCTTCTATCACAGACATGTTACCTTCGACAGTGTAGCTGTGATTAACTGTATTCTTTAGACAAATTATATATTATTGTATTTTGATATTTTCATTTTTGTCCATGTGTTGTATCAAATGTTAATTTTAATAAAGGTTTTGAAATCTGCTTGTTAGTTAAGTGCACATAATCTTTCAATTAATAATTATTGAAGTTATTTATATGGAAATTAAAAATACATTTAAATCAGGTAAGTAACTAATTGGTTACTGTTCCTAAAATTTTATATAATATCCAAAATTTTTATTGTACACTTTTATAATTGGTTTTTACTTTGCCTTTGAATAAAGCATCTTATAGTATACTCATGTATATTCTATTCAGCTTTTAAAATTTTTGTTACTATGTTACATTAGAAAATAGTACAAGAAGATCAATGTTTATATAACATTTCACATCTGATATAAAAATGCAGTGAGTGATATGTCCCTGCCTAAAATAAGCCATTGATATTGGCAGCCCCTCTTCAACTTTGGCTCTGCTTTATTTCCTCATTCTTTTTGGTGTACTTCTTTCTCAAAGAGATTTTCTTGATGAAAGGAGTACTGTTATATTAATATTTACCACAGTTTTTTTTTAGAAGCTGAAGGAGATGAAAAATTTTGCTCTTACAATGGTGAAATAGCTGTCAAAGGAATGAAAAATAAATTCAGAATCACTGATTCTCCATTACCTTATAAGATGTCCATATTAACACAATTAATTTTTCTAATAGCTACTCCACACCTGTCAAATGCCAAATGCTGTCTTAGGCAGTAAAGATAAAGCAGTCAATAAAACACATCTGCTCTCCGCATTTATAGAGTTCACAGCCTGGCAGTGATTCTACTATAAGAGTATTGTAATTGCTCCCAGAAAATATACTGTTTTTTGTTCCTTTTCATTCCATAAGAGGCCCTAATTCTTTGTATCTCTAGATAGAAAGGTTGTTGAAAGCACAGGGACATATATATCAAAGGTATCAAATTTTGACATTTTTGTTTATAATTTTTCAGTGAAAAATTATGTATTTAAACATATCTACATAAATACATATATAATGAAAATACTAGAATACCTGTGTAGAACAACAGAAGTATAAATAGTAAAGAGAAAACTAGGCAGAGCAAGACTATGTTTAAAAGAATACATGAAATAATTTATATTTGAATTGTTAAAATACAGATTTATTTATGGTTTGTGTATATATATATATATATATATATATATATATATAAAGCTTTTTGGGCATTATTTTCCAATATTGATCCTTACCTCACTACATAAATTACTAACATAAATAAACAATAAATTCTAATTGTTTAATTATCTGTGTAAAACTTTAAATCAATGGAAACCTGTAAAAGTGACTTTTAATTGTATTTTCCTTGAAAAGTTTTCTTGAAATAATTTTCAGTATTGGATTGAATAATATTAATACTAAGAAAAACTGGATGATTGATTTATTTGTTTATTTACATTTTAGATTTGAAAAATGTGTGAGTGCTAAGGAAGCTATGGAGACTGATCTTTATCAACGCTTTATTCTGGTGCTGAATGAGAAGAAAGCGAAGATTAGAAGCTTGCATAAATTGTTAAATGAAGTTCAAGAACTAGAAAAGAACATTGAGCATGAAAGGTATTTTGAGTTGTCTGTTTTGAGATGGCAGATACATAAGTTTAAAGGGATTTTTCCCCCAAACTTAATGAAAGTTAGATGCCAGCTTTTTAGTAACATGAGATCATTTGCCAGTCTGAAGTTGAATGCTCTGGCTGTTGGATGCCGTGGGCTGGAGAATTCTCAGCATGATCTCTCTATGTCTGCCTACTGTCATAACTACACTTGAATCCTAAAACTGGAGTATGGTTTATCTAAAATATTTTTTGTGTAATTCTTAGACATCATTAAAAATAACAAAACTGGGCAGCCCGGATGGCTCAGTGGTTTCGCGCCACTTTCAGCCCAGGTTGTGATCCTGAAGACCCGGGATCGAGTTCCACGTCAGGCTTCCTGCATGGAGCCTGCTTCTCCCTCTGCCTGTGTCTCTGCCTCTCTCTCTCTCTGTGTCTCTCATGAATAAATAAATAAAAATTAAAAAAAAACTTTTATCTTCTGCTAAGCTGCAGGATTAGTAATTTGTAATCCTGCATTTGTAATCTTGGTGTCTGAGTAGTGGTTAATTTTAGAATCAAGTGGCTCTGGGAGTGGAGATGTAATTGATTTTTAAGGAAAAATCACAGGTGACTTACGCCTTGTATGGTTTGGGCAATTATAATTGTTAGAGTCTGATTTTTATTTTATTATTTTATTTATTATTTATCCACTTAATTATTATAGTGGATACAAGTTTGGATCTTGTGTCCTGAGTCTGAGAGAACACACAGGCTTATGAAAGGCATCATCTGAAGAATATAATATTTGATGTCAGATAGTCCTAGTTCAAGTGCTGTCTGGCACTTGATATCTGTTAGTATATGACTTTGGGCAGATAAGTCTATGTTAGTATATGTCTTTTGGGCAAGTAAGAGTTCTTTAAACTCTCTGTGCCTTACTTGGTATCTTCATAATAAGATGAAAGTTACCTATCTGAGAATTTGGGGCCAATCAAAAGCAGGGCAAAACTGCTTGTAGATCAGTAAAACACTGAACACATTGTGATCCATAGAAAATAATTTGGAAGAATAGTATTTTGATAGATGAATAATATGATAAGAAACTGATTTAACAGTTAATTACAGTGAGCACTAAACCACATTTAAATTAGGTAGAAGAGAAACTTATTCTTAAGAGAGTTAACATACAGTCTTTAAAGTGCTTTCATCTTAATTATATATATTTCAATATATGTTTGTTTAACTACAGTATTTTTCCAGGGATATTTTTTATTATTACTTACTGGTGAATTTGATCCCTAGCCCAGGGTGAACCAATAATTCATAATTCTACCTTTTCTGTTTCTAGGGAAACCACAGCATGTTCTGAAATGACAGCTGACAGAGATGCAATCTATGATGAAAGCACTGATGAGGAAAGAGAAAACCTGCCTAATCCCTCTGTGTCGGCTCCAGGTAAGAGAAATACATTCATCACCTTTGTTGAATATCTCACTTGGGCTTATTATTTTAAAGATAATAAACCGTAATGAAAAATGTTATGAAAAAAGTCTTCTACAAAAATTCTTTAGGGTTTTTAGTCTAAAACCTCAAGTATTTAATGTTAAAATTAATATTTATTATAAAATGCAGCAACTCATAAAACAAGCAAGTATATGTACAAACATACACACCCAGGAGTACTATTCCTTATTAAAGAAGGGTGCATAATGAATAGGGAAGATATGTGTTCATGATAGTTATCTTCAGCTAAAAGCTGGCTGCCTTTAACATGTAAGATCTTACCTAGCTAGAGCTCTATGGGTGGGTAAGGAGCAGGGTGATCCAGAATGCTTCAGATTGTCTTGAGGTTGAGCCTTCTTTCATTATTCAGAAAAGGAGTTTCAATAAGGGGAGATGGGCTAGAGGGGAAGAGAAGGGGCAATGGCAGTTTAAGTTAAAAGTACCTGAGCCTTACTCAGTCTCTCAGATCTAAATCCATGGATTATTTGTCTAAAGTCTTACGGATATCCTAGAGGCAGTAGCCCCTGAACTCATTTGACACTTACATGGTTCTGCAAGAAGCCCAGTATTCTCAAAATAAGTGTTCGATTCATTTATTTAGCAAATATCTTCAGAGTGTCTCTTATGTACCAGAAACTGTTCTATGTTGGAGGGAGCAAAACACAAATATTTTTGCTTTCATGGAGTTTATAAGTTCTAGTCAGGGAAACAGACAATAAGCTGAATAAATTGAATATAAACTATATTAGACAGTGATAAATGCTGAAGAGAAAAATAAACCAGGGAAGGACAATAGAAAATGTCAGGGTGGAAATAGGATAAAGGTTGTAATTTTAGCCAGGGCACCAGAAAAGGCCTTGGTGAGAAGGTAACAAGTCTATCTGTGGGGTGAGCATGCCAGGTAGAAAAAAGCAGTTAGTATGAAGGCTCTGATGTAGGAGCTTTCATCAACTTTTTCTTGATGTGTTTAAGCAATAGCATGGAGGGAAGTATGGGTAAAGTAGGATGATGAAGATAGAGATAATGGAGATATGAGGTCAGAGAGAGGACAGATCCTGTGTAGGGCCTTATAGGCTATTGTAAGGATTTCAGTGAGGGTTTGCTTTCAATTACATTGGAAACTGTTGGAGGGTTTCAAACATCAAGGGATGTGATCTGACTTACAATTTTAGCAGGATTACTCTGACTGTAGCATTGAGAATAGAGTATACATAATGTGGTAAGTACAGAAGATAGAACTGTGGAAAGCTGGTTCAACAATGAGTGAAGGATGTGAGTGGCTTAGGCGAGAGTGATAGCAGTGAAGATGATAAACAATGAGCAGATTCTGGATTTATCCAGAGGCAGCGTATTATTGTTGATCTAGTGGATATTGTCCTGAGAGACAGGCAGATACCAATCATGAGAAGTTTTTTTTTGATTGAATATTGAAGGCATGCAGGTGACTTACTGAATTAGGGAGAGAATGCAAGGGAAGGGTTAGGAACTCAGTGTTACACACATTAATTCTGAAATATTGAATAGGGAGTTGGGTATACAAATTTGAAGTTTGGGAGAGGGCTTCCTGCTGAAGATGGTTAAGTAAAGAGGTGTTCAAAGTTGGCTAAGCTATCAAGGGAGTTTGAGAAGACAGAAAAGGCAGTGATCCAAGGACTCTACCCTAGTATACTTGGATGTGTAGAATCAAGAGGCCGGCCAAGAAGGCTGAGAGGGAGCAGCCAGAGGGTAGTAGGCAAACACTGTAGGACACAAGTGTTACTGAGGATCTTAATATAACATTTTCAGTGGGATAGCAGGAATAGGAGGTTCAGAAGGAGTGAGAGGAGAGAATTGGAGAAAAACAAAGAGCCTAAACAACACTTTCAGCAAGTTTCACCATAAAGAAAAGACCTGGGTAGCTGCCTGAGGGTGCATGGAATCAAGGGTTTTGTTTTCTTTTCCTTAGATAAGAGAAATAATATGATTGCATATTAATAGGAGTAAGGAAGGAAGGAGGGAAATGCTGCCAGAATTGTTGGAATACGGTCTCTCATAAGTGAAGATGGGATCAAATGGACAAGTATCAGGATTTGGTTAGCTAGGAGCATGGACACTTCCCATAGTGACAGGAAAGAAATTAGAATAAATAGACAAAGACATAGGAAAGTATCTAATTGGGGTCATAGAAATGTACGGATATTGGTTAGATAAGTTGGTTGATTAATCTGATTCTAATTAGAATTATATTGGATCACACAATCACACACACTCTCACTTTTGCACAACAGAGCTAAATTTGGAGGCTGTACTTGTTTTATGTTAGTGACCCAATATAAAATCAAGTCATTCTCATTAAAGACTTCAACTATATTAAAGCTAATATAGTAAAAGCTAATTAAAAAGAGAATCTATTCTTTCCAATCTAAATGTTCAAAACTTTTATTAAATTCAATGGTCTTTGATTTTGTTTCTTATTCATAGTATCTCACCAGTCTTTGAAGTGGATGAAAATTATTGTTGAAGAGAAGATATATGGTTAAATAATGGGTCTATGAGGATGGGGTTCTTTATGTGTTCAGTCTATTTTAGGCAGAGCTTTACTACAATTGCACTATCCTAAATCTGGCAAAATTTCTCTTCAAAAATGATTAGTACATTTTACATTTTTTCTATATTTTACATGGTGTATTTTCTTTAACTAAAATCTAGTTCACTACATTCGACATATAGGTCTCCGATTCTACTTTTTTTTTTTTTTTTTTTGCACTTGCTTTGGGCATGTTTTGATGTCAAGAATTAAGACCATTTTTATTAGAAATATTAACTATCCTTTTCTTTCTGCTTCAGTAAGAAATCTTCAGGAAACTGAAGTTTGGAGAGAAAAAAAGAACCTCAGGTCTAAAACGCTTAATACCGAATTAAGTACTAGATTCCATATATCTGAGGAAAAAGGTTATATGTATTAAACAATAAAATAACCTTCCGTATAACTTACAAGGTTCTATAATTCATTTTTTACAGGGACAAAATATGCTTTTAGTCCGTGGGATATATGTATTTATATTTAATCATAACTTTGTCTTTTGGTATTTTATATGTTATTACTATGTATTTGGGCCAGAGCAATGAAAGTTACTTACTGAACTTACTCTGCCATCTACCTATTCTTATCATACAAGTAAATATTAGAATTTATCTTAGATAGTACAGGTTCATGTGTACGTTCTCTATTATAAGAACAAGAGAAAAAAAATGATGTGATTTAATATATTTATTCTTCCAGAATGCCATTTGTTTAAATGGCTAAATATTTAATTTGGTAGCCATTTCTATTATGTAGATGTATTTTCATCATTAATTGTCAAAACCATCAAATTTCCTCATGATTTGTTCACATTTTTATCCCAGTCTTGCATGATAAAAGTTTAGTGAGACCAAGGTCACTTAGTGATTCCACAGTATTCATTCAAGGAAAACGTCTGCATATTTGTATACATATATTCAGAATTATAATAGGGATATTGTAGTTTGCAGGGAATTGATAGGTTACATTTTCATGTATAGGCAATCTACTTTATTACTTTTTCTCCAGAGTTTTAAATTTACCCCCATCATTAGGATTGCTGAGGAAATAGCTGATGCCAGAACTCCAGTCTAATAAACTACATCATGCTCATATGTATTATACCATATAGTATGAAAAACCTGTAAAATTTTTAAAGTTGACTAGCTAGAAGGAGATATACAAAGTGTTCGGAAACTTGAACATCACAGTTTCTATCACCCAAAACTACATATTATACTTTTCTGTAAGTATATAAATATTTAAATACTATATAAAGCAAGATTTAAATGAATATTCTAAGCATTTTAACCATTATTGCAAAACATTTTTTAGTGTTAACATAATTCAAAATGTAGGTGAATATTTAGTACAGATTGAGCTTATTTCATAGAAATAGGATTTTTCTTATAAAGTATTTTGAAAACTTATGCTTAATTGGTTTCTAATTAGCCTTTACAAGAGGAATTATTTTAATGTCTCGTTATTTTAAATTATTATTCTAAAATATTAAGATTGTTGATAATTAAGTTATAATTATCTCTATAGTAAATATTGATATTTCTTAAAATTAGAGCCAATTAAATCAGCCTTAAAGTATGAATATGAAAAATACTTTTTCTAGAATATTTTATTCTTAGCTTCATTTTAAAGGTACAAAACCACTAAAAACAAATAAAATAAGCTTTCTGCCACTCATCTGCATAATTATTAGCCCAGGATTTAGCACACTAGTTTAATTAGTCTTGATTTTTAACCAACAGGAAGGTCCCTGTATTACTGCTATCAGTAATTTAGGCTTCTACTTAGTTGGTGGGCTTCCTGAAAGGAAGTGTTATAGAATAGCCTTTTAGAAAATAAATGAATGGCTATGTCAAAGAGTTGATGAATACTGATATAGTAGCTTTTAAAAATAGAGCAGAATCCAAAATTTCTAAGTATCAAAGAGCTCGTTGCTTCAAACAGTGAATGTCTAGTCACAGAAGGGATAACAACATGTACTGCCAAAGAGATTAGTCAGAAATTCAACTTTAGAATCACAGATTATTCCCTTAATCTTATCCAGCTTGTTTATCATAGACTCATTTATTTATAAATTCTAAATCAAAAGCTTGATTTAGTGAAACCTGTCGCAAAACTGGAAGAGCAATTTGAGTGCATTTCCTAGCAGTTGTGGGCTCTTATTCATAAGCAGCATTGCTGAGGAATGATACTATGTACTTCAGAAATCTAGATCTCATCTAGTTCTAGATCTTCTAGTTCAAGCCTGTCATTTTTCAGATGAAGAAACAGAGGCCTAAAAAAAGGTTAATTATGTTACTGTTGGACACACAGAAAAGAATGAGAAACATTTGCCTTCTGTAGCAGTAATCATATCTGCACATCTCTTTTTGAGATATTTTTTAAAACC